ACACACACACACACACACACACACACACACACACAGAGAGAGAGAGAGAGAGAGAGAGAGAGAGAGACCTGCTTAAGCAGATAGTAGAGCCATATCTACAGCAATCTCAGCTTTTTACTTAAAACAACATTTATTCTGCAGAACAGTTAGAGGTGGAATATAGTAGTTCTACAGGGGCATAATTATAGATTGAAATGAAAAATTAGAAACTATTCTTTTGGTATATTCCTGTTTATTTATTGAAGTAAGTAATTTTAACACTTTAAATTGATTCTTAGCATCTGTTATGTCTGATAAAAAGGCCTCAGGGTCAACAATGCTGTAAAAGTACAGCATCTTTGTCAAAGCTAATTAACTAGAATGATTCCTACCTTCCTTCCCCAGTTCAGCAAAGGACATTCCACTATCCTTACTCATATTCTTCATGTTTCTGGGTAAAAGGAGAATATCCAAACTCCAGGGATGGAGGCAGCTATGGATTTTAATTTCTTGGCATTCTTTGGGGAACTCAGGAACATTCCTAGAAATGATATTGGAATCTGGCATTGTGTTTTGATGTTTCTCTCTTATTTATTAAAGTCTCTCTTTTTTAATATAAAAAGTCACAGGGAATGAGGAGCATGGAGAATATAACAAAAATGTCAGTTGCCATAGTGGTATCTTCAAATATTATATTAGATACTTCAAAACTAAATGTTCTTTAATCTGCCAGAAATGAGATCTTGGCAATATATCAAGAAGTATAGTAATAATTAAATCATCAGACCCAAGGGAGTTTTTTGATTAATCCTGTTCATTTGGGGAAGCTATTATGATCAATGACAACTTTAATATTTTGTCTTAATTTAAATAGTCTATTGTGTTTTGTTTGGTTTATTGGATTTTAGGATTATATTAATATCTGTGATCTTATTTTGTTAATTGCCCTAGTACAGTGATGGCTAAACCTTTTGTCACTGTGTGCCAAAAACGTGCTCATGCATGCCCCCGCACTTATAATACAATGCATGTGTGACCTCCCCGCATGCCCCCCTTGCATGCACACACCCCCCCCCCATTTTTTTGCTTCAAAATTGCTGCAGGAAGCTTTCCAGGCCCAAAATGGGGTGCGAGGAAGGGACTGTGTACTATTTTGGGCCTGGAAGGCTTCCTACACCAACCTGGAAGCCAAAACAGAGCACGGGGATGCCGTGCAAGGCCCCAAGCACATGTGTGGCAGAGACCTGAAGACCAGTTGGCCAACAGAAGCTGCATGCGCGATGGAGCTGGGCTGGGGCAACGGCTGGCGTGCCTGTAGAGAGGGCACACATCTGTGGCGCACATGCCATAGATTTGTCATTATAGCCTTAGTATTTTTGAATAAAGAGCAGTTAGGCTTTAACTATTGGGACATAGTTATATATCAGTAATAATATCAACTATAACTACTTTATTCCATTTTTGTTCTTTAGCCAAAACTGACAACACCTTCAAGGCTTTTCTGGATGCACGCAACCCCACGAAACAGCATTCTTCCACCTTGGAGTCTTTTCTTATCAAACCTGTCCAGAGAGTGCTGAAATACCCTTTGCTTTTGAAAGAACTGGTGTCTCTGACTGATGTAGAAAGCGAGGAGCATTACCATCTCACAGGTACTTCCCAGAAACTTAAAAGAGTTTTGGTTTATATTTAAATTAGTAGTTGAAAACTGACACATGGATTTAGCACTGAGCTGTCCAAAGGAGATTTTATTATGCAATTTTCGTCAGTGTCTGTATTTGAACTTCACACTAAGAGCATTGTGCATTGGGTTGCTTTAGACCAGAGGGTGGGTCTAACTTGATTTCATTGACGGCCTCATCGGGGTTGTGTTTAACCTCTGGGGGCCAGGGTAGGCATGGCCAGGGAGAGCATGGCCAGTTCAACATCACTTGTGTTGGGGGCTCCTGTGGCAGTCTGAGCACTCTGCCAGTGAAAACGGTGACCCAAGCTCATTTTCATCTGCGACAGCCTCCTACAACCCTCTGCCAGAGAAAATGGAGCTCAGAAGGGCTGCCCACGGCCCCTGCGAGCTCAGTTTTCAGCTGCAATGGCCTCCTGCAAACCTCTGCCAGTGAAAACAGAGTTTGGGAGGGTCACCCACAGTCCTCGTGACCTCCATTTTTGCTGGCAGAGGCACTACGGGCCGGTCCTTTCCTGTGTCCAGGGTGAGCCCATGGGTCAGATCTAAGCACCCAGTGGGCCGGACACCCCTGCTTTAGTTTGACACTCCTGCTTTAGACTAATAGCAGCTTGTTGTATCATCCAAATGCTTAATTAAGATTTGAGTCAGATTCAAACCATGGCTTATCAATGGAATTATTTTACTAAACAGTACATAAGGATAGTCACTATTAAAAAAAAGCTTCTGTCAAATCTCTTTACAGCCATTCTAGAGATGGCCAGGCTGTATGTCAAAGGGGATCTAGAATTTTCCCCATTCAGGGCAATTTAACGATGACTTATTGTGACACTATATTGTAGATCAAACAGCACAATAAGCAGTGATGTGGAGCTCCTTTTTGGTTTTGCTTAATGCAATAAATGAAATCATTGTGCTTGTGAAGCTGGTTTTTCCCCATTATTATAGTGAAATTAGTCATTAAACCAAAGATGGGTTTGAGTTAGGGCAAGGATATGTATAGATGGATAGCAGTGGTGGGTTCAGGATCCTGTTGCAACCGGTACGGTTGCAACGGTACCCGGTGTCCTCCACATATATGTGCATGGCAC